GTTCACCTGTCCTTGCTATTCAGACACCAACGAGTGTGCACTCATGAGGTGTACGGCGTTGGATATTAGGCCAAACCAACTCGATGCTGGCAGAGGTTAGAAATCCCAAAACCAAAGGGAAGTCAACGTCAAAGGCTAAAAGTCGAATGAATGCATGATTGTGCCTGCATTTGTGCGATTGGGTGTGTGAAATATGAGGGTCTGCGAATGTGTCTGCAATAGGTTCTGGCTGATTGAGCGTATGTAAGAATTGCGCGAAGAAAAAGAGCTGAAAGAAATGGGATAAAGACAGATAGATAGAATGAGAGAGAGAGAGAGAGTGAGTGACAAACATGCGTGCTACGACCTGGGCCATGTTCGCCGAGGTGTGGCTGTGCCTGAGAAGAGGGGGTAGGGGTCAGACAACGAAGACGCTGGCGGAAGGAGATGTGAAGTGTAGAGGAAAAGCCAGAAAAAAAGGAGACAGGAAGTGGGGCGGGGCAACAGAGTGTAGGCAACACGAGAGGGTCGAGCACTGTCCAATCGTTCCCTCGGACGGTGCGCAGGCAGGACGACACGACTGGGTTCGAGCCGGCCAGCGCTCGAACGATGGACAATGCGCATCGCGGAAACCGGTCCGTCTCGTATCCACTTGCCAACTGGTGCGATGCCGAGGGCCCGCTGTCTGAAATTCGCTAGCAGAGGGCGGGGCCTGAATTGTGCATGTGGGTTTTCAATGTATGCATGCAGTTTTGTGTGTGAAATGCAAGTATGCATTTACATTTCTCTACATGTTTGTATGTGTGTGTGTGTGTGTGTGTGCTAAGGGGCAATAAGTGATGACAGGTGATAAGGTGCCGGGAGAGGGGAGGCTGGGCCGAAGTTGAGGTGAGGCGAGGGGAGACGGAGTGGGAGCGTGTGGGAGGGACAAGTGGGAGTAGGTGAGGCGGGGGGAGGGTGACAAGTGAGCAGATTAAGGTGAGCAGGCGAGTCGACGAAAATGCAGGTAGGCCGTTGTGACCTGGCGAATGAGGAAGCCCGGATGGCGCCCGCCCATGTACCCCGGACGGGAGGACAGCGCACAGACAGCAGTCGGACGGAAGTGTCCGGTTGCCCGGCCCGTATGGCCCGTCCGAGGGCTTCGTCCCGCCACGACGACCGCCACAACCTGTCCGGACAGCGAGACGAGAAGAGACAGTCGGTCTGAAGTGGCTCGACTCGACGGCCCGGTTGTCCGGTCTCCGGGACCAATTGACCCGGAGACTTGGGCTGCATAAACAATTAGCCTTGCGGACAGAGACTGTGTGATTGGAATCGCGGCAAATGGTAGCCGCCGCTTTGTCCGAAAGAGGGGGACGTCTGCGCGACTCCTGTCGGCAGATGAGACCGTCGCGTTTGTCGCCGAACGGAGAATCCACCCGGCCGGGCAGGAAAGTGCGCCACAAGTCACCAAGTGTGTGTACAGAAAAGTTGGGTTTCGAGGAGTAACTTAGTTTATAATGCTTATTAAGGAGGAGGAACTTTCATTTCGTATGGAAACAAGGTGAAAAATAAATTCGAAATTGAAGATATGAAGACCAAGATGTTGTGGACTCTGGTATGGTCGCAGTCTCCTTTCGAATTTATTGAAGTGTGTTGAACTCGTTGTTGCAACTTGGTCTTGTTGTCATGGCGACTAAGTAGAAGGCAT